CCAGATTATGATGAAAACATTCAGGCACCAAAATGTCAAAAGAATTTTCTTTGTAATGACCTTTAACCCAATAGAGATCAGAGCCAAAGTACTAAATTTTAACAAAGCTTTGTTTTTTCTTGTATAAGCCCACTTCTGTTGGCTGTGTGCACTTTTTTATCTACCTCCTACGCTGCTCGTCTTAGTCTAGTCGTTAGTCTATTATGTCCTCAGTCTTTTTATCTACACACGTCTATTCATCTTTACTGTATTCACAACAACTTCTGTCTTCTCCTATAATATTTCCAATTTTTACACTTTGATCGATAGTCATCGCAGTCCTGTCGGCTCCTAGCGACTTCTATCTCTTACCAAAGTCCTTTCGAGGCTCCTAGCGATTTATTTCTCCTTACCTACGGTAGTCCTCTTAAGGCTCCTAGCGATATCGCAGTCCCCTCAGGGCTCCTAGTGATTTTTATCTCTTTTATCTCTTTACCGCAGTCCCGTCAGGGCTCCTAGCAATATTTACCTCTTTTATCTCTTCGCAGTCCCCTCAGGGCTCCTTGCGATATTTACCTCTTTTATCTCTTCGCAGTCCCCTCAGGGCTCCTAGCGATATTTACCTCTTTAGCATTCTGCCCGTGCAGACCTGTTTTCTAACACAGCTCCCCTGCTTTCAAGCTTGAGGTGTTGCGAGATTAACAGTGGTATCCACAGAATGCTTTTATGTATTATTCAGCTTATTTTTCCTTTTTTTTTCTTCACGTGATTTATTTTCTGCTGTACTGTACTCGACTCTTCTTTTATGTCTTTAACACACACACATTCTCATTCTCTGCCTGCTTATCACTCTAGCTTACACACACACTCATTCCCTGCCTGCTTGCTTACACACACACTCATTCTCTCTGCATGCTTATCTCTCTGGCTTACACACACACTCACTCCGCACCAAGGTCACGCTGTGTTGCACTAGATTCAGTTGTCTCCAGCAATATATTAGCTATGTCCCAATGTTGTGTTATTAGTTAGTAATTATTACATCACATTTTAGGTTCTTTAGGAGAGGAATTTGTCAAATACCTCCGACCTGGGCGGCTCCCAACACTGCACCTCAGACGCACCCGGTTTAGGCAGAAAAAAGGCTCTGCTTACCTTATCTGGTGGCCACCTGTACGTCTGATGTGCAGCCCAGTGCCCCCGGTCTCAGGATCTGACCTTCTTGCCTTCCGATGCTGGCTCGCCACATTGAAGAAGCAGAATTCAAGGCCTGGAGCTGGGCCAGAAGGCTCGCGACCTTGTTCCCTACTTCCTGAACAAACTTTGTTTTCTATTAAATGTCTAAAACTCAAATACCCAGAGGTCAAAAAATCACTGGAGACTCGTAGAATCAGGTGCAACTGAGTTTAATGTGTTCGCAGGCAACAAACACATCAACTCAATGAGTCATGCTCCGGAGCAGGACTGAAGTTTTCCCTTCTGTGCATCCCTTTTTAAAGCTGGTGAAGATTCTGTTGAGTCTCCACCTTTTTTCTTTAATCCTACCCACTTGAGCTGAACATAATGGTGTCATGGCTCTCTGTTCTTCCCATGAAGCCAGCCTACCCACTTGAGCTTGTACATAATGGTGTCCCAGCTTTCCCTTTTTCCCTTGGAGCCAGTTTTACCATGTAATGCTTTCCTGGGCAGTCTAGGCCCGCCTCCTATTACCAGGGTCATATCAGGCCAAGCTGGAATTCCCTTAACTTTCCACTAATATGTGTGAGGTCATCCTCCTGCTATTTTTTTTTAAAAAGATGCACAGTGAATGCTAGGTACTTTTCCACCATAATGCTTAAGTGCTCAATGACTGTATGTGCGTGTCATAGAAATACATGAAATAATAAACCAGTGTGTGACTGTGAGTACACAGAGTACATTGCTTTAAAAGGTATCTTTAAAGGTCAACTTAAAGGTATAGCATTAACACTACAGTAAATGAGTACATTACACTACACAACCCCAGACGTCATGGGAATGCGACCACAAAGTCCGAGAGTCTGTCAGGCATAGGCAACCTGTGGTTCCGAAGCCACATGTGGCTTTTTAGCCCCTCTCCAGTTGCTCCCTGTGGCTTTGACAAAAAAAAAATGACATGGAAATAGGGCCCGAGCGACAACGAAGTCGTCCGTGAGGACCCTATTGTAATCCCGCTGTTTATTAGAGGGCCAAGCCTGAGGGGCCGAGGGAACGTGTATGCAGGCAGATGCGTTTCCTAGGACCAGCAGTGCTAGGAACCCTATTGTTTTTGTGAAGATTTTTATTTTTATTCTTCCGTAGGTAAAAGTGGTGCTGCAGGCTAAACCGTGCAAGGGAGGGCGGTGCAATTTGGAGGGGTGGTCCAGACCCCTGCACGTACCTCAGATGCAAAAAACTATGTATATCTGCCTGCAGGGGGCGCTATAATCTAGGCCAATGCATTTTTGCCTATAGCTCCCACACCGTATGTCACACATTCAAAAATGTTGTATCCCCAGCTTCCCTGAATAGAGCTGAATCACTTTGCCATAGGCCACGCCCACTTGCGCCTGAAAGTTTTTTCACAAAATCGCAAAAACTGGAAAACCTACTTTTTCGAACTTCTCCTTGGGATTTTGTCCAATCTGCGTGAAACTTGACATATACACTCTTCTACTGGACGTGATCTAAAGTTATCAAAAGAATTTTATTCGGTCAAAAAATGCGCAAATTATTAACAAACAAACTTCTATAGCTAGCTATAAAAATGCAAACTGTTGGATATCTCGGTCAAACTAAATGCTATTAACACCAAATTTGAGATCATTGCTTGGCATAAGACTGTGAGGGTATGAGCCGAATTTGGC